CAGCTGTAAATATGCAGTTAGAACGGTGCCTCCGAAACGTCGTGATTTTTTGTTTTATTTTATTTTCATTAATTTTGATGTTTTACCTACGTGACTTTACCGAAAAAAAACCTAAGAATAGAACGGTGGTCTCTGCAAAATGGTTATTTAAATAATGAGCGGGCTTTGAGCTGCTCATGTTAAGATACCAATTCACACCTCCGATTAGCACGGCTGGCAACGAACGGTGCAACACACATACGATACGGATTTAATTCATTCGTTACAGTTAAGGGAAACGTGGTTATTCAGGAATATAACATGTAATTCCTAGTGAAAGGGCCTACTACAATGCCGTTTAGTGAGCACAGAATGTGATTATTCACTCGCTCATCGCAGGGAGCGTGAGCTAGCGGCGATGACATGGGAAGGATTTCAAGCTGCACCCTGACGAAATTACAGTCGGGAAGACCACGGAGTAAACCACTGTAGTCTTTGCTTCTTCATCGAAAGAGGAATAGCAAAACGACACCGACTCTCTGTTGAAGCCTTCACGTGGCTAAGCAGACCACGTTGACATTTAGCTCCCGAAATTGTTGCCATATGCAAGACCAAAGTCGAAGGAGACATTGAACCTGAAAAGACAAAATATTACCATTCATGCTGTCGATGTTGTAAGAGACAGAATGTGTGGTGTATTGGTGCGATAGGTAGAATCTTTTTCCAAGACATGTCTGATATGCTTTTTTGTGTTTGTGATATAATTTCCATGACATAACAGCATTCTTGTCTTTGAGTTACTCAGAGAAAAATCGGCCACTTAAATCTAGTTTTTGCAGAAAATAACCTGTATGAGATGTTGTAATCTACATCGCTTATATTTATAGAGCTAAGGTGCTCTATAAATATAAAATAAGATAAGGTGAAATGTTCACAAAACACCAGTTGGCGAGGTGCGCTTACGATGCTGGGAAGCATTTACGTCATTAAGTATGGCGATTAAACCAGAATGGGCTTAGCCTTGAACACAGCGTAACATCTCGTCTCTAATCCTGTCTGTCGTGATTTGCGTGACGGCGTTACTTTGAAGGCAAACGCAGCACGTGAACGCACATTTAGCAGCTGTCATCGTGTACATTAAAGCTCGGTTCATGAGAAAACAAATGTCCGTAGTGTCAAAACATGAGTTATCGGAGCATTGCCAAATTGCTTCCTCGTAGTGTGATTGAGATGCACTTGTCATCCGGGTGTCACAAACAAAATCCTGCCATTCTCAATCCGCCAGTGGAGGCCTACCCACGCAATGTCGGTCATGAGGTTTTTAACAAACAAAAAACATCCTGTTCTTCACCACACTGGTCAGTATGGGTTGGTGATGGGAGGGGAGGGTAGGACCGGTTCTAATATCATCTGCCCCTGATGTCAGCCGTTGCCAGGAATCATAATGAGATGACCGGTTCCATCGCGCAACGTGCAAACGCACAGTTTTGTTCCACTTCTCCACCGTATTAAATTAGTCTGTCGTTATTAGTATTCGGTCTGGCTTTATTCGTATTCGGTGCACATACGGTTGACTGCAGCTTGGATATTCTTGGCACCATTCCCCCCTGATTAATTTACACGTATTATCGTCAATTCGACTTCATTGTAATCCCGTTTAATTACACTGCATCACACAGCCGCACAGTGAAGCGTCTACGCAGGCCGAGCGTGAGTCCAGAGCCAGGCTGGCAGCTCCTCGCCCACACGTCCACCGTGAGGATCCCGTCACCCCGGCTTTAGCCTCGTGCCATTGAAACGCACGAAGGCGATGCACTTGACCGTGAGGTTGCTGCTGTTGACGCACTGCATTGGCTATCTTTCGACACGTCAAATCTTGGAATGATGATAAGGTTTACACCGAGCCTTGTGTTTACCAGACCTTGTTACGTTACCTGCCTTGTTAAACATTTCCTGACACACCGTCACCCGACAGTCCACAGTGTACAATCACCCCCAGGATCTGAGGTCATCCGTGTGGCCTTCCAGCACGTACACTCCAGTCACACTGAATAAAACGTCCTCCACCAAAGGCCTCTTCACATCCATATACTCTAAAGAGCATTCACGCATTATAATCATTCAACCCTCGGTCTATTTATGCACTTTCACTACCTTTCATATCGTTCACATGTACTCCCTTTGTGAATGTTTTAATAGTGTACACATTTTGCACGTTTGTCAATATTCGTGCTTGTGATTGCCGAGGAAGACGACGACCCGGCAAGCGTGTCGCTCGCTCGGCGCGCGCGCACGGAGCGGGGTTCAAAATCCTGCGATGGCGACATTGGCTTCCGGTTTGCTGAACGAGTACATGAAGACGCTGCGCTCACTACACTCAAAGTGCTTGCCGCAAATGAACCATGACACCTCGCTGATCTCGTTGAGGAGCATGAACCATCGCGCGGACTCCGGTGGTGGTCATCCTCGCAGCAGCGGCGTTTGGCTGGCAATCGAACAAAGACGGTGTTGGTCACCGCATCCCGCGCTTTCCAGAAGCGCTTCTGCGGCCGTCTGGAACGCTCTTCCTTCCGATATGAGGAAGCCACTGGAGCTATCCACTTTGAAATCATCTAGATTGAAAACGTATTTAATTAAAACTGCTATGTGTTTAGTTCGTTGTTCTTCCCCTGTACCTCCGATTAGCGCGGTTGGCTACGTACGGTGCGAAAGAAGTTTGACGTATACACATACACACCAGCAGCTGTGAGCCACTTTCTCTCTGACGTGTACCATAATTATTTATTTTATTTTATTCACAGCATAAGATGTTTAACTGCCGCAATGTTGTCCACGAATCTTTGGTTGGGTAACACAAATTAAATTAAATAAGCACCTAGTTAGTTTTTTGTGTCTTTAAATGTTCAGTCGGTATTATTCTCAGCTTTCGATTTGTATTGATTTTCTCTGACAAAAAAAATACATTTCTTTTTAGATTTAAATAATTTGATTCTCACCCTCTTGTCACGTGCCATGACAGCCTAAGCAGGTGCTTCCTAGAGCATCCATACGCCCAGGGAGCAGTGTAACTAGAACGTGCCAGTCGGCGAGTATTGAAATCACGGTCAGGGACCAGATCAGCCCATCGTTACTGTCGTCAACAGGGGCTGTTCTGTGTATCCCGTTGCTCGTGTCTTGGGAATGTGTCATTTTCACCACTTGCCCAGGGCTGCCAGTGGAGATGAGTGATGAGTTGTTGCTTGTTTTTAACTGGGAGGCACTTTGACCTGACCAGCGTTTGACCTGACAGTCTTCAGGGCTAAGCTGAACAGTTCTGTCTTTGTGTGTGTGTGCCTGTACATAGGTGGGGAGCGGTAGTGTAGCGGTTAGCGCGCTGCGCTACGAACCTGGCAACACGAGTTTGATTCCTGCTCACGGTCAACACCGGTGACGATTATCTAAACCGGTCTTGGGCCTCCCCTAGGTCGACTCAGCCTCAGACGGGCGTGGTGTTGGCCACCCACCCCCTCGTGTGCCGTTCTGGCCTTCGTAGGTGCTCGCTAACAGCACTTGCCCCAACAGTCTCTGAAGGCTATACGAGGGGGGGGGGGGTTGTCTTTTTTTGTACATAGGTGAACGCAACGTTTTCACGTTGGGTGATGATTTTGAAACAGCAGGCTGTCTGAAAGATGCCTCAAGGTTACTCTTTCCATTGCTTGGCTCAGTTCCTCTGTCACCCTTCGCTCACGAGCAGATTGCCCTTCGTGGCTGGGCTCGTGGCTACAAACTGCCCCTTGTCAATGCAATCAGTGCAATCAGCCCAGGATTAATCCTATACACAGGACTTGCCTACATTACAAAAATCTATTATTTGCCGCAAGGGACTGGGGATCTGCATAAAGGACATGTGTCACCGTGGCTTCTCCTAGCATACACTGCATGCAATGTTGCTTTATAGTGCAAGGCCTGGAATAGGGGTTAAGGGTTAGAGATTTGGTGTTGGGGTTGTATTAGCGCTTAGGAGTTATGGATTAGGAATAGTGATTAGGGTTAGGGTCTAAGAATTCGGTGAAGTGTTGGGGATCGAGGATAGGTGACGATTATAATCGTGGTATGTTCCAAAATATCTCGTCGTTTTTTCACATCGCTGTTAATTTCACATGATGACTAAAATTGCGATTCCAAGCTTATTTAAAAGTCCACACACTCTACTTCTGTGACCATGTGTTCGAATCCCAAGCTTCCAAGACCAAGGCAGTTTTTTAGGTGTGGCAGTATTTAGAAGCACACCCCAGTCCCCCATGACAGCACGCGCGTCAAGCACCTGGTGAATTGTATTGATCGCTTCGGTGAAGACGCAACTCCTGGCTGTCCCGAATGAGTTTGAAGCTTTGATAATGAGGACCACTTATATTCTTGGTTCTTTCGGTAAAGTCACGTAGAAGGGAAATAATAAAATAATAAAAACAAAACAATAGTTTTTATTTTTCTATTATTTCCCTTCTACGTGACTTTACCGAAATAACAAAAAATATGAATCCCTGCAGTCACGAAAGCTTTAAATAAAAAAAAAATGAGGATCACCATCAGGCACTCTGTCACCCTGGTGTGGTGACGTCACTGCATTTAGAGTCGTTGAATTGTACGGGAGTGATGTTACAGTGATTTCACAGGAGTGCCATAATCATCCGCTTTCCTCTTTACTTGTAAATTGGTTTATGTTCACCATTAACATAGCTTTGAAAGTCGACCGTCATGTATTCACGTTCACTTATATGTGAACCGTGCCGAACTATGAACAAAGACTCAACACGCTCGTCAACAACACCGCCAATAAAGAGGTGTGACGTGTTGGGGAATGGCCATTCTCAGACATCCATTTGGCTATGAACCTCCACTACTGATCGTCAGGTAAGCATAACTAAGTGTGAACGCTTGTTACGAATGTTCTCTGATTCCACAGGCGTGTGATTTTCTGTTCGTGGTCCTGGCTGACGTGCGCGCTATGCTGCTGCTGCTGCTGCTGTTTTTTTCTCCTTCAGTCCTGTGTTCCGAGAGGGTGGGGCAGATGACCAAGACCTACAGCGATATCGACGCAGTGACGCGCTTGCTGGAGGAGGTAGGCACGTCCGCACCAACACCGCCTCGCTTCAACGGCCATCCACTCTGCGGATTGCGCAAAACTCTCCTATCAGGTCCTACATGGCCACACCTTGAATGTCTCATCATCCTTCTGGGTTTCATAAAATGTTTACCGTCTTGTGGAAAGTCAACAGTGGCAATCGTATAAAGAGGACTGGTCCTCGTAGTGGGAATGTGGAAATAGCCACCAGTTTGCTCACGCTTCTGTCTTTGGATATGAGGTCTGCTGCGGTGCTTCTGCATGGTTACATTTTTTGCGTGGTTATGCATTTTAAATAAATTAAAAAGCACTGTGACAGGTGGCTGCTAAGGTGTGATATATACGTGGTGAAGTATGGTCAAATAACACCTTCAACCCCAAGGGGGTAAAGAAGTCTTCATCCAGCTATGTATTGACAAAGGGCTGTACGATTCAGTACAAAGTAGTGGTAAACATTTAGTTTAATTAGGTTTTTTCAGTAATAACTGATTTTTGTGTTTATCATTTGCTCTTCCTTCCCCTGCACCTCCAATTAGCACTGTTGGCTAAGTTATAATGCAAAAAAGAAGCCCAATATACATAACACACAATATGCACAGCATTCAGTTTGTCACTGCATTGACGTTTCCACTATTGATTGTAAATCAAGAGGCCTCAAAGTCCCTCTGCCCAAACAAGCAATGAGACGGTGCTCATTTCTTTAGAACCATAACCTCTCCTGGAAATTCCACAGTCCCCTGGCAAGGCTCAGTCTCTCCATGGGACAACCTCGATAGGACAGCATCCTACATTGATTCTCGCTTTATTGAACTTCAAGGAATGACGAACTAAGTTTACCACTGGCCAGAGTTTTGAACTTGCGATGTTGCGATTGTGAGTCAAGCACTCCGACTGCAGCAGCGTCCTGCCGGATGTGGCTATGCTGTAATGTACGCGTTACCCTGTGATGTCATTCATAAGAGTAAGCTGCTGTGTGGGTGTCCGAATATTGCTGACATCTGAATCGGCGCTCTAAATGTATGACTTTAAGGCACTGTGATATTCCCTCCAATCATGATTCTCTTATCCACTCTTGCTGATACTTGTTCCACCAATCAATCTCTAGAAGTGGTCCCTTGAAGTCCTAAATGCAGACTGTTATTCCTGGGGGTTGTTGTAGATCATGGCAGTGGAACGAGGAATGTATTATATTGTTCGTGCTATCCGTAGTTTGGAAGTGGTCTCCTGGAAGCATTAGAGTCACGCAATTCTTGACTTGTGGATAAGAGGAGTCACCCAGTGATGGATAATAAACTCGAGGATTTGTGGTCCGGCAGTAGCTTTCCGCAATGCAAAGTGCACCGTTTAGGAAGCAAATCTGTCACGAGTTGAATATTTGGTATGTTCCGTGAGATGGCTAATGATGATAACCGTGTATTTTTATGAATACAAATTGCCTTGTTTACCCGCACATTAAAGATGTGACACCTTGACTCTATTCCTGAGTGTGAGTGTTCGTCACAGCGGTTACGAAATGCCCGAGTCTGTTTTTGGTTAAACACTCTGCTTGTTTCTATAAACAGTTTTGCTTCAGCGCATTGGAACATTAAATTCCCTCTATAAATGTATACGGCTCGTGATATTATTGTGCTGGTAACATCCACCCAAGTGGCACTGGTTGGAGCGTCCCACTGAAAATATAAAGGCCACGACTTGAGACCCAAGTCACGGTCGACTTGGCCCTTCATCCTTTTGTGGTCGTTGTTATTGGTACCACTCTGTGCGGACTCGCTCGTGGGTGTCCATTGATCACGCTCGTCCCTAGCCATAAGAATGTGGAATTTATATCACTGACTCTGGGAGGTAAAATATTACTGGCTTGTTTGAGCAAGTAAATAATTAGTTTTTCATTCATTTTATATGTAAGTGTGGGTTTGCGTGTGCGCGGACATGTATATCAGTTCGCACATTTATATCGTTTCGCAATATGTGTACAGCGTCTTGAGGCGCATTGACAATTAGATACATTATACATCAAAATGGATGTTGTTATACATGTGCATGTTTGCACGTATGTCTGTATTTGCGAGAGTGTGTGGCGTTGTGACATTGGTAGAAGAGTGGTTAGCGCGCTGTGCTACAAACCAGGTGACCCGAGTCCGACTCCTGTTCATGGCCAACACCAGTGACGTTTATCTAAACCTATCCTGGGCCTCCCCTAGGTACCTGTTGTGGTGTGTAAACATCGCCACTGTGGAGACCAAGGCAGCTGGGCGTGGTGCTAACCACCCAACCTCTCATGTACCGTGCCATCTTTCATATGTGCTTGCTAACAGCACTTGCCCCAAATGTGTGTTAATTCTATACAGGGGATTTTTGTGTGTGTTTTCTGCCGTTGTGGCACAGTAGTTGCACAACGCGCTACAGTCCGAGTGACATGCGCTCAAGTGTAGCGGTAAATCTGGCTGTCGCCTGATGATGCTAGATGTAGTTACTGGTGAAATGTCGTACTCAGATTGTAAATGTTGTGGCTTGGCTCTCCAACACACCGGTTAGTGCTGTACTAGTGACGAATTGACCACGTTCTGTTTACGTGACAGCCCTTACAAGTTGGCTGTGTCGGGTGGTGGCGGGTTTAACGACATTTCTATTTACGCGATCTAACCCAAAAAACCTCGCTTATGAGAGGTATTGATCCTTGCATGACAAAAATGTGTCCCATTAAGATCCCTTTGCCTCAGTTAGTGTCAGCCAATACTACCAAATGAAACGTTGCCACTAAGTTATCCTTAATGCGTCGACTTTCTGCAGATATTCCAGGTTTTTCCTGTATGGAAAATTGATAAGTAATTGGCTAAAAATAGTGTTTGATTATCGTTATTTGTCTTCGCAGCTGTTTGGGAGTTTGCAAGACAGATCTTAATGTTCCTGTAACTTGGTTTTTACAGGGGTGTTTGTATACCAATACCATAACGCATCTCATATTGCATCTCGCTGCTATTTTGCTAAATGACGATAGTTGACACTGCAATGGACATTTATATGATACGATGAGGAACATTGATTAATGCTGCATAATGAAAATAATTGGAATATTCTGTTGAAGTGCAGAATTATTATAATCATTCCATCTCAAAGTCACCCCAGAGGGTGCATGTGTGTGTGTGGGTTTTTGTGTGCATGTCAATGGGTTTGTTTGTGTGTGAACGCATGTTACCGTACGCATACTTTTGTGCATGTGTGTATATTGGAAGGCATTTGTGTTTGTGCATTGATGTATGTGTGCTTATTTGTGTGTGAACGCATGTTACCGTACGCATACTTTTGTGCATGTGCGTACATTGGAAGGCATTTGTGTTTGTGAATTGATGTATGTGTGCGTATTTGTGTGTGCGTGTATATACGTGATAATTTGTGTGAGTGTATGTGTGATGCATTGGATAGAGACCGGACTTCGAACCCAGTTATATGGCTTAAATTCCCAGCCTTGGATATCATCAGTACCAAGTATTATCTGAACCTGCCCTGGGTCTCCCCTCATTTGACTTAACCTTGAAGCAGTACCTGCTGTGTTGTATAAACGTCAGTACGGCACTTGGGAAACAAAGGAGGTGGGTCGTGGTCTTGGCTACACGGCTCCCTCTTCGTTAATTCCATGCCTTAGCACGGCGGTCTTCATCGCAAGGCCCCGTGGGCCATTGGTGGCCCACGGTGGCCTTTTGTGCGGCCCCTGCCGTGCCCCCCCCCCCCCCCCGGCAATACACAAATGGTGAGAACAAAACCCCTTGCACTGATGATGTCTCATCGGCGTATGTGGACCCCCCCCCCCTCTGATAATTTGTGAAGAACACCGCCCTAATAGATGCTCTCTAACAGCACTTTGGTTAATAGTCTCTCAGGCTGTATTGGGGATCTGGATTGCGTGTGTGTTTGTATTTTTGCGCGTGCTAATGTGTTTGAACACACACCGGCCTTAGGAAGACAAAAGCAGCTGGCGTGGTACTGACCCTACCACATGCTCATGGAATTGAGTGGTAATTGCCCAACATGCTTATTTAACCAAACCAACAAGGGCATCTCGTGTTTGTGTGTGAGCACACATTATGGGCACGTGTGTGTGTGTGGCTGAGTGGCAGTGAAGCGGTAAGGGCGCTACGCTTCGAACCTGGCGACCCGAGTTTGATTTTCCCCACACGGCCAACACCAGTGACGATTATCTGAACCGGTCCTGGGCCTCCCCTAGGTCGACTCAGCCTCAAGTGAGTACCTGGTGTGGTGTGTATACATCGCCAGTAGGAAGACAAAGGCGGCCGGGCGTGGTGTTGGGCACCCACCCCCTCGGGTGCCGTGCCGGCCTTCACAGGTGTTCGCTAACAGCACTTGCCCCAACAGTCTTTTACAGGCTATATGGGGGATCTTTGTCTTTAGACATGCATGTGTATTGTGTAAACAGTCCGCATCATTAGGGCCGCTTACATCATGGCAGAATGTGTGCTTCATGGCGATTGTGTTGAATCCATGAAACACGATACAGCCAGGGTTGACAGTCCACACAGCAGCAGCGTGCCACTGAGGGTTGTTGTCCACTGTGTATGTGTTGTGTGTGTACACTGTATTAACACAGTGTACACACGTAACATGGTGCACGTGGGTTGTGTAAACTGGTCATTGCCATGTCCTATGATGAGTGTTTTAAGAAAAAGTACATTTGTTAGCTCACTTTATTTAAGGAGATCTCACCGAGTCCGCTTCAGTCTCCTCCTGGTGTGGCAGGTGACCCAGTGGGAACATTTCTTCAATTCTCCTACCTCTGTCCACCCATGGGCACTCCGGGGGCACTTTAGTACATCGGTACGTCGAGTTTGGTGGGGTAAAGTGTGGGTACCCTCACCTCTTTTAAAGACCATCGAACTAGCATAGAAGAATGGGCCAAAAATTGCCTCCTGAGGTCCTTCTGCCAGTAGTGGCACGAGGAGGACATTGCAGGGCTGCACCTTTACGTTTTGGTGATGTGGGGTGTGGTGGTGCGCGGCCGTTGTTGCCGTGCAGAAAGAGCGTGACCTGGAGCTGGCAGCGCGCATCGGGCAGTCGCTCCTCAAGAAGATCAAAGTACTCACGGAGCGCAATGAGATCCTGGAGGAGCAGATCGAGCACACCACGGAGGAGGTAAGGGGGCGCCCCCCCCCCACCCCCCTACGACGAGCGACCTCGACAACGGCAGCCAACTTTCCACCAAGCGGCGGTGGCGGTCACCACGTTGGCTTGTGCCAAACTAGGTGCACTCTGAGGCTGCGTGAAGTGTGGATTGCTCGCCAATAGGAGGTCGCGTGACAGGGTCAGGAATCAGAATCTTTATTTCGACTGGAAGAGGAATCCGATGAGCTATGAAGCTCTTATTCACAGGTGTTGTGGGTTAACAGACAGCGGTGACGGTAAAGTGTTCCACCTGCGCTCCCAAATGTGCCGAATCACGTGGTTTTAGTTGCTCCGTCACCTCCTGTTGTTGTTGCTGGAGCCTGACTGCCTCCTCCTCCACGGAGGGCTATCTTGAGATTGTCTGTACCCACTTTTGGCAAGTCCAATTAGTGTCATGTCCTCCAATACCACACATCTGCCCATCTGTTCTCGAGCCCATGCCAAGTATGCAGTGTATTTATCTATTTGCCGCAGCTCAACTCTGTTGGTTAAAATGCATACGTATATCTGATGAATGCTATTTTACAAACTAAACTTTAGATATCAATGGAGTAGTTCTGTCCCGTTTTAGGCAATAGGTACTCATTTAAGTGACTCCATAAATACAGACGTCCCTTGCTTTATGCCGGTTCCATCGTTAAGACGAAGATGGAACTTCCACCGCTGGTTCACGATCAACAGCGACCACACTAGGCCTACTCCGGTTTGGACTTTGCCGTTTGACTTTGACTGCGTGGGTAATTGCGAGCGCGCGACTTAGCCAGAACCCTGCCTCCCCAGGTGGCGCAGCTGCGCCACGACTTGGCCTTGAAGGAGGAGCTCCTGCACATCTACACGAGCACGGCCGACGAGAATGACAACGACACGGAGGAGTCCTCGCCGCCGCCGTAAGCACTCAACTATTCAACCATATTGGTCTTTTTCAGAAGCGACCTGGCCACAGTTTATACCTCAACAAAGTGGCTCATCACTTAGAAATGTATTGCAGCCAAATACTCGAAGGGCATGTTTTCTAAATGTGGAGGGGAAAACTGGAGGACCCAGAGAAAAATCCGCGCGACAACGGGGAGAGAGATGGGAAAACTCCAAATATACAGGCGTTGGGGTTGGAATGGAACCAATGACCTCCTGCGTACCAGGCAAGGGAGTTAACATCTCGCCACCCTGACGGAACGCACGTGCTGTGGCGTGGGAGCGCGTGCGTGGTGCATGCAAGACTCGCAACGGGAAGGAATCGGAATCTGTATTTATACTGCAAAAGGAATCTGATGAGCTCTAAAGCTCTGTTCCACAGATGTTCAGTCGGGGCAGGTCAGAGAGCTTCTACAAACGACGATATAAAATACGATAGGAGTGCACATTATAGGAAAGGTAAGCAAATCACACCAAAAATCATAATCTGCTGGGAAACGTGATTCCAGAATGTTCTATATTTAATTGAATATGCAACCCCAAAACAAACCAAATGTATTTTTTGTTATTTCCTTTTCAAATCAACATTGTCCCACAGCCGTTTGACAAACCACCTCGAATGAAACACCGTCTAATCGTCTCATCGACTAAATATCTGGCTCATCCCGATTGACTTCACGTGGCGGGCTCGCAGCATACACTGTGCGCGTGCCAAGTGTCTTCGCATTCAGAGTTCATTCAGTAATTTCTTCTTTGTCGCTTGTGTTACACAATCTGGGGAACCCAGGAGAGGTTTGCAGGCTAGAAATAAAACCTGTCCGCTCTATAGGGGTTGTGTCTTTAAAAGGTGGTGTGTTTAACTGTTTGGCATTTATTTTTTATATCCACTTGACAATTATGTTTGGTTGTGGAGTTAATTTGTTTTAATCTGCTTCAATTGTCACTGAGAGCTCATGTTGACGGTGTGGTAGTTGGTGCCTGGTCAGACACTTAGCAACGGCGAACCCGTCTACAATTAAAGTTTTTTTCATGGATGCCATTGACCTACTCGATGCCAATCGAGCGGCACCCTTAGATTGGTGACCAAAGAGAATACCTATAGCCAGATGTGGGTAGTATAGGTGTGCTCCAGGGAGGTCACTTGTTGGCTGTGCAACAGCTCGGGGATTTGGTAGAAGAAAGCAAGCGATGGTCACGTGTGGTGGCAGCACCAGCATTGCCAGTGGTGGCCTTTGACCTTGTCATCATGGACACAAACATTGCTGAGAACTCTTTGATTTTTTTCATCGTGTAAACGGCCGCTGGCTAATTCTTCGTTAAATGTATTCTCAAGTCTGTTGCTGCCACCTTATATCGTAAACATAAGGGTTATAGCACAAAGCAAGTATCCTCATTGGTTCATGATGTGTGCACAAGTGTGTGGTTTAGTAGGTTTAAAAGCTGGGGGTAAAACCTTCTCGGACCTGGCAAACTTTCCTGTTGTGGTTGTGGCGTTTAGTTGGGCGGCAAGGTTGTGCAGCGGTCACACTGGGGCCTCGCAGCAATCACGTGCTGGGTTCGATTCCAACTTGGGTGCCTTTCTGTGTGGAGTTTGTATATTCTCCCCGTGTTATGCAGGGGTTTCCTCCCATTGCTAAAAACAAACAAATACAATGTAACTGGTATTAGCCAAACATCCCAATGCTACCAAAATATATATCTGAAAACTACACGAATAGGATTATCCATCGCAACATTGCCCCCCTACTGCAAAAAATTTTTTTTACACTACCCTATTGAGACTCAATGAGGCTTTCCTGGGTAAACACGTGTAATAACAACAACAACAAAACAATAATAACAATTTGTGTGTGTGGGTGGTGCAGGATGGAGAGCTCTGGCTGCTCGCTGTCCATCGGTCAGAATGTCCTGCACATGGACAGCTTCCACCGCAAGCTCAAGGAGCTGGAGGATGAGAACTTTTCACTGCTCTCAGAGGTGAGAGGGGGGGTGCCTTACAATCGCCGTCACTCATCCTCTCTTCCGCTGGCAAGGAAGCCTGGCTTCGTTCCATTGCGTGACACTCACATCGTGAGGACCCGGGGGTCCTACCATGCATATGCGATTTGCTGCATTAATTGCAAACGTTTTCTGTGATGGAACAAAAAAAACAAGGAAACAAAATAGACAATTGGATGACCACATGGTTTGCAAATTGTAAATGGGCTCTGGTGGAAAAAAATAGGTAACAAATGAATAGTCGGATGGCCGTGTGGTTTGCAACGCTTTAGCTCAGCTGCACAGCTTTGCAGAGGCGACCGGTCAAGACAAGTTTATTTGTTGGTTGAGTTGTCATGCCACTGATGTGCCATCGTGCTCTCCCTGCTCATTTTAACATTTTGCCACACTAATCCCCATTGCGGCCTTGAGCCGGTGGTTGAAATTCAACATTTTTATTGAGGGCCAGTCCCTCTAAATGGTACAGATTTGCTACCATAGTGCACTTCTACACTGAATATCAGTTTAGTAAAACCATTTTTACTGTAACTGAAGAAATATAGAACTCAAAATGTTTGTATTCTCCAGAAAATCATTCTTCCCACAATCTGGTACCTAATTTAATGACCACAAAGAGATGATGAGCTGGGTGGACTCCCGACTGCAAGTGATCGTGCAGTTCTCCCCGATTGAGTCAAGTGCTCCGGCCAAGTACATGACCTCTCAATTGTTCAACCTGCGTACCCGCGGGGCTCCTCTGAGTACTCCTCCCACACAAAGATAACACTTCATAAAAAATGAATTGCCCAAACATTCCAATTCAGTACGCTCTAGATAGTGAGTCTTGAGACCTGAGTGTGACTTTCCCCTATACAATACATGATGCCACTTTTCGTTGTTGTTTAATAGGCCTCTCATTTGAAGAATGAGACTCTGGACTACGAGGAGAAAGAGCAGCAGCTGGTGACGGACTGCGTGCGGGAACTAAGTATGTTCCAGGAGGAAATGCGTGAGTGTGTCATCCTGCGTGCCCATCGCATGCTGCCTTTTGTTGTTTTGGCTTTTTCTCATTTATTCATTTGCTGAGGTTCACTAAACCATCCGTATTCCCATCGTAGCACCCTGGTTGTCCTAAGGAAACTCACGCTCCTGCTCTAGTTGTGTACAACAGCTGTAGAATAAGTCAATTTAATGAATATGGCAAATGTACTCTTTGTTTTTTTCGGTAAAGTCACGTAGGTAAAAAATTAATAAATGAAAAACAACTAAATTTTTTTACCTACGTGACTTTACTGAAAAAACCAAAGAGTTTGAATTCTTGCAGTCACGAAAACTTCAAATCTAGAATGGTAAATGTATTCAGAGGAATTTACTTGTATATCATTATATTAATTACACTTATCTGCCTATCTATAATTTATCTTCCTGGCTTTCTCTTTTTATTTGCATTGCTTCGTGGGTTATTTCTGCTGAGACTGCTGATAATAACAAAAACAATCCTACCAACGTATTGTAAGGCTTACGACCAACATACACTGAGAATAACAATGCACACCCATCCACCTGCTGTTAGGTTTATGGTGTCGATCAGGAGGTAATAGCGGCCAATGCTGTGGTTGCCGCTAAACACCGCCACCATCACTTCCTTTCCCTCTGACACGTGCCACGGCAGTCGGCAGCCCGACCGTGCGTTGCGTCCCGGCTTGAGCGCTCACGGCGCTGCTTGCGCGTGCGTCCGCAACCCCTGCAGGAGCGTCGAGTGCGCACATCGCGCAGCTCACCGAGGATCTGTCACGGCGCAGCGAGGACGCGCTGAGGCAGCAGGAGGAAATCACCCAGCTGCTCTCCCAGATCGTCGACCTGCAGAAGAAGGTCAAAACGGTGAGTGGCACCGGGAATGAAGAGGCGGCCGGCTGGTTCGTCGGAATTGATGTCGTCCAAGAGCGTTGAAGCCGCCACTTGTGAAGCCGAGGGTTTGAATCCTGGCAGCGGTTTCGGTTGGTGGTGTGAAGCCCCGTCCACTGATCACTGCACACACGATGTTTTGATTTAAAGCTTTTGTGACTTCAGGGATTCATATTCTTGGTTCTTTCGGTAAAGTCACGTATATCAATATTATTTTATTATTTCCCTTCTACGTGACTTTACCGAAAGAACCAAGAATACACAATGTTTTGTTAAAGTCACTTATTGCGGCATATTACAGCTCTGTGGATTCAAATATTCAGTTGAACTTCCGTGTGGGACCTTTAAGAGGAGAGCCGCCTCGTGTTGAAGGCACTTCAGAAGTGGTTCCGTGATGCCATCTTGTGGTGGCTGTGGTACAACACAGGACCATGGCTGCGAGAGTTTTGAAGGGAAAGTTTCCACCTCGTGACGGCATGGCAACAGCGCGAGTACAAATTGCTGAAGAGCGAAACAAAAAAGTGACGAGTGGGATGGCACGTGAGCGGAATGGGACTCTTCATTTAGACTAGAGGAAGCAAGTTGCCAGGTCAACCAGGAAAGGCAGCAGCGGGGGCATCCAAAAGTCGAAGACCGAGGAGAAGACTGAGCAACAGATGGTGGTGATGAGACCCTGAAGCAAATCTTGGTGGTCTAGAATTGACTTTGCAACAGTTTGGAGGATCTGGCAGGGAAATGGCACAAGCGCTCGTACACACCTTCATTATTTTCTTGTCTTTACGGTATGCTTAAATGTCATATCATAGTGTTATGCAGAATGGTAACTAGATAATAGTTTTTTAATAAAAGCAGTTTACATATTAAATTAGTGTGGGGTGGAAGCCACTTCCTCTTTACAGCCGTCTGAGGTATTGGTGCGAAGTCCACAGTGATATGGCTGGGGCGAGTTTTTCCTTCCTACAACATATTTATTATATCAACCATCTAGAGACGATGGGCTTGGTGGACTCATAACGGGGAATTGAACTCACTTCTGTTGGGCTTTCAACCAACAGCGACGGAATTCCAGATTGACAAAGATCTACTGAAATTTGATTCTCATCTCAACGTATTTGCCAAATCATCTCTTTACCCTTCGCTGAGTACCACTTGGTGGAAATTCAGCAGTAGTCGTCTTGAAATCGTAGTCGTTGGCTCTGCATTGGCATCAGCCACACCGCTCTCCGGTCAGGTATGCTCTATCCTGTTTGTGTTATTGCACTGCATTGCAGCCTGCTGGTTTGTGTCGTTGCAGTACTCGGCCGAAAATGAGGAGTTGTCACAGCATCTGGGAGCAGCTAAGGATGCTCAGAGACAGCTCACAGCTGAGGTCTGTGCCTTCTGCACACACAGCATGCACATGCAGCGAACGTCCCCTTAAACACACTTCGACATTGCTTTTGCACGTGCATTTTATACGCAAGTTGTATTCAAAGTTTCCTATTCGTTTCAGAGTCATAGCGAGCAGTGTACACATCATGTCATACCGAGGAATGGCCTCTGGAAGATGTGACAACTACTTCTGAAATAACTTCAATTGGTCTCTTTATCCACACCATGTGACACAGTATTCTCTGATGGTACAATTTTGAAATATATTATTTTCAAAGGCAGAATATGTAAAACCAAGCAAAACACCAAATGTTAAATGTGATGTTTTTTTTGTGCATTGGAAACCAGGCAGAGACCATCACCTCTGCATATTTGGATCCTCGTTTCTTAGTTATCAATATTGGAGCCCGCACAGGGTGGATGACCTGGATGTGTAGCGCCTTCCCAACGGTGGTAGCCGCCCTCTGCAGAGAGGACAACACCAAAACGAGGGCGCGCTCCCAGGCGAGGTGCCCTGTCATGTGACCATGCCACCGCCACCACCGCCACTTTCTCTCTGCACGAGCCGTAGAGCAGAGGGCACGGCAACCCTTCGCGTGAGCCGGTTCTCTAGATTGTGCACCATACTCGTAGCACTAAGGATATCATGAAGGGAAGTGAAATGCTTTGTGTGCCTGTGTGCGTACGTGAGTCTTATACACATGTGTGTGTCTGCATCTGTCAGTCATCTCGGTCTGTCAACCCAAGCCAATGCAGGCAACGACAGCCTGATGTATTAGTCCACTCAATGTCAGTTTGTTGTAATACCAGCACTTGCCCCAACAGCCTGTTAAGGGTGTACGGGGGGTGGGGGGGGTAATCTTTGTCTTTGTAAACGTGTGTGTGTGTGCGCGCGCGTGCGTTTGTCGCCCAGGTGCGGGAGCTGCAGGAGAAGCTGGCGGAGTGCACGGACATGCTGCACGAGGCGCAGGAGGACGCGAAGAATCTGCGCAACCAGATCGCCCCGAGCACCACCCCGTACCGCTGGTTCCACCCGCTCGCTCAGTTCCCCCGGGTAACGGCATCGCAGAGAAACAACACGCCTCTCTCTCCCCCTTCAGCTCCTTACCTGTGGCCCCGTCTAGCTATTCACGTGAGAGAGGTTCCGTTAGGATTGTGGTCTTGAAGTGGGCACGGACGCAGCCCCGTCATCGCTCGGAGTAGATACAATTGGCTACAGTTTTGTGAGAATTCGACAACGATTCTATAATCTACCATTGGAATATGAAATTTGCACAACTGGTTGTAAACTGTTTATTTGAGCGGGAAAGCACTGACTTTGATATTGATCAGGGTTCTTCCCCTGGTGGAATGGCCGCGTCGAGCCATGCAGATCGGTGCGATGAAAGAGAGATTCACAAGGGATAGAGACGAGAAATCTGCAGACAAGGGATGATGATTGGTGATCACGCGTACAGCCGTCATGGCATCACAATGCCACGTGAAGTTATCGTTCCTGTGCATGTGACATGCGACGTCACGTGGCCTGCCGGCAGACGCTCACATTATTTTGTGGCTCGCCGAAAGACATAGATGAGAAATTCAGATATAATAATAGTAGTCATAATCAAAATGTTCCCATGGGTAGTGTTTATCTATATTTTAGACCCTGAGCCAGTGTAGAAAATTGTTCATTCCCATTGTGATGGACTCTTTACTCTCAGTAAAACCACTCTGAACTTCCTACAAAGTGGTACGAATATTGAGAAGGAATGATTGGCTGCGTCGATCTGAACCGGGATTTTGACTCTACAAATCGAGGTTTAAAATGAGCATCATTTTATTTGGTTCAAGGCTGATTGTATTTTGGAGAGACTTTGCCTTGTCATAGAAAGGTAGAATTTCCACTACTAGCTTTGAGCATCAGTCGATTAAGGACCACCCAATGCCCATTCGAGCATGGAGATTGATGCTTTTGCTGCTTAGTGATGTTGTTGTTGCTGCTGATGATGATGCTGTCTGCTGTAGACTCGTCTGTCGATATTAAATGTTGTCTTTACACCATTTCTAATCCTTGTGTTGATGACAATGATGGTGCTGTCACTGATACTAAAGAGGCTCATGCTGACGGTGATGATTTTTTTCTCGTGAATTTGTACTGATGCTTCGGGTTTGTCTGCTACATGCGGTGTTGATGATGATGATGATGGAGCTGTTGATGATGATGATAAAGCTCTTGATGATGATGAAGCTGTTGATGATGCTGCAGGACTCGTTGGCTGCTGAAATCGAGGGCACCATGAGAAAGGAGTTGCGATGGGACGAGCTGGGTCATAAGTACGCACCACACAGCAATTCTACATCGCTGACTGCATGCACACCGGCATCACCGTGGCACCAACAACTGCACCACCAGCGCCTAATTTCCAGAGGCTCGTTGATAGTACAATGAGAAATGTTCTACTCTGGTTTTGGCTGAATTATTAATTCCCTCAGAGTCCATAGAATGACTCTGTAGAAGGCTTGGCTTGGTGGCACGTGCCTTTGATCGAGTGCTATGGATGCAACAGCTGGGGGCTCATGCAGATTTATGAACTTTATTTCAAGAATATCCCTGCAGCGGAAATTTTGCCAATCCCTTGTTAAGGTGCATTTAAAAATTAGCAGGTAATGAGTGTACCCACGGAAACCAACGCACGCCAGGGAAAGAAACTCTTGTGTACCCACGGGGTATGAGCTCTTTTGCTGTACTGACACCTCCTGGCCACATCGCGGTGCAGCAGTTTGCGAGTTTCATAGCTCACGCTGGGCTTTGCCTCAAAGTGCTGGTGTAGAGTTGCGTGCCATTTCAGTTCAGATTTACTTGGTGACACGGCCAAGTAATATTCAGCCAAAGGCTGCTTTGCAAGAGAGACCCGCGTGCCAGCAGACTTGCCCATATCAATGGCATTGATAGGAGAAGGTTTTATTTTTTGCTCCATATCATATTCAGGTTAAACTAATGGTGTAATTTTATAATGAGACATCGTAATTTTAGCAAGTGAACGTTAATGTCCAGCGTAACAAGAAAAAAGGCCCCTGGAAGGTGATGTTACAGAACTACTGCTGCAGTGGCTTCACTAGGCCTCTTTTTTACGCTCGGTGCTCCGTATTATTAAATGTCTGGCACATTGTGCTTGCCACATTGAGATTAACCCGGTTTTTTGTTTTACTTGTTAGAGGTGTAATATATCGACATAATTGACACGTTAAAATTAATACAATGCCATTTTTTGGGAGTCCTTCTGTGATCAGACTGAGACTGACAACTGGCTACTCTTGAGAAACCAAGTTTATTGTGGATGTCTGAAACCGGCATGATAAAGCCAGGATCTATTTGGAGCTGGGTCATTGCTATGATATGATGAACCTCCATGCCAAACCGAACCCTTCCCAAAGAGTAATTTAAGCACTGGCTGCAACTTGGGATCTAGGCAGCAGGATTAGACTTGGCTGCCGGGCAACCAAACATTTGACCCACAAGTCAATCTTGCAGCTAGTCTTATCACGCACGTTTCGCAACATAAACGTCAGCTTTAGTCAGCCGGCAAATGATTTAAATCCGATTGTGTGGTGAGTCAACTCAACGACTGGCTTACGGGCAAAATGCCTGGTTGCCAAAACTTCCAGTTCGGTGCCAAACCCTGGCTCGTCGCTCTCCTCGCAGGGGCCACCAGAAGCGCGTGTTCGACACGGTGCGCATCGTCAACCAGACGGCGCGGCGCTCCGCCTCCTGCTGCCTCTCTCCGCTCCCCATCCCGGGCTCGAACCAGACTTCGGCGAGAGCGTCGCGGCCCCACAGCGGCACGGCGTCGCCGCGGTCCGGCCTCTACGGCTCGGACTTCTCCTCCGCGGCGCTGCTCGACAACCGCATGCGCAGCCTCCTTCTGGACGTCGACGCCCTCAACCACAAGTCAGTGCTGCCCCTCGTCAGCCTCCTGCGCCCGCCTCTGCCGCCCCCTTCCCCCGAGCTTCTCTCAGCGTTCACCCAGAACCTTCCGCCAGCAGCATTCATGGGTTCTCAAAAGCAGTATCGTTTCGTTCATGCACGTGTTCTTTCGTACGTTCATTGATTGCTGGAGGTTTGTCTTTTTTTGATCTTTAACGAAGCTTCGATATTGCATCTCGCAGCTTGGCACGCTCCCTTGGAGCGGCTCGTTTTTTTTGTTCGTATCATTCCCCTCGAGCGTAGCGAGTCGCGTGCCCACACCTCCCTCCCCCCCTCCCTTCCCCCCCCCACCCAGCGATGACAGGCGGCCGGGCCAGCCGGGCACGCCAGGCTCGCACGACCTGGAGACTGCTCTGCACCGCCTGTCGTTGCGGCGCGAGGCCTACCTGAGTGAGCGGCGCTTCATGGAGGAGGAGTGGGAGCGCCGTCTCGCCGAGCTGGCTTCGGGCCGCGACGGCGCCGGCAGCGCCGGCGGCGGAAGCGGTCGCCCCCCGACGCCGGGCTGCGGCAGCGGCAACGACGGCGACGGCGGTCGACTGTCGGACAGCGCTCACTCCTCGTCCGCCTCGTCGGCGTCGGTCGACTCGCACTCGTCCATGTCGCTGGCGTTCCGCTCGTACCTGCCGGACAAGCTGCAGATCGTCAAGCCGCTGGAAGGTGACGCGCCGCGCGCGTGGCGACGCTCCCTTCTGTCCTTCCTGCTGCTCCGGCTGCGGCCGCCCCCCCTTAGCCGGCCCGCGCGCCCCGCTCACGGCCTCCCCACGCACCGCACGTTCTTCTTTAAGGACAGCACGCTCGGCTGCCTCTTTGAGATCCTCTGACGCGGCGCGTTCGCGGCGGGGCTCCGTCTCCGCGGGCCACTAGCGGTGCTCGCTGTCAGCTTTAGAGGCAGGAGGTGGTGCCCCCCCCCCTCCAGTTTGAAGAGTGAACGAAATTCTGCCTCGGTTTTTCCAGTCAGACGAATCGTGTACATGCAGCCGTTGATGTTTGGAGTGCGCAAGCGTAAGCAATGTGAAACTCCTCTCGTCTGCCCTCCCAATTACCAGCTTATCGATTCGCTAAAATCTATCCGTGGAGATTCGAATTATCCACGCATCGGTTTTTATATTATTCACGATCTTGCACAGGTAAGGTAACTCTGACGTAGCTGCCAATGCATCCTATTTATCCGCGTTTGTCCGTGCTTCCTCGTGTGGGTCAGACGAGTAAACACCGCACCTCCCGCCCTCGCGTCAGTGCGAGTTTCGATGGGTTTGCTTTGTTGGTGAGGAAACGAACCCGTTCATGTTTGTTTCCTTCTGATCTTATTACCCGTGACCTGCCAAGACGGTGCATAATTATAATTATGTGTCGTGGGTGTACCAGTGGTGAACTCCCACCGCACCAGTGGATGCATCTGGCTTGCAGAGAAACCTCGATGACGCAACCATCCCACGTACTTGCACGTTGCCTGAGACTAGAAAAACTGAGGTGGAGTTTATTCATTCCGGGAAATAGGAATGTAAAATTTCCACCACTGGACGAGCAGTGGAGAGATGAGTGTTTCCCCAGTGCTCGTGTGTGCTCGGAGACACTTTGAATCTTTAAGCCAGTGTCCAGCTCACCCATCGCTGAGCTGTGCTCATGAAGTCAACTGTTCAATGAACGCAGCCGCACAGTCAATTATGAGTTACTAAATGACTGCTCGCTGGTCGAGACCTTTTTGTATCATTCACATGATGAGTAGACCATCACCCGTACGTATTGCCTGAGCACTAATCATGATTTACAAATGTAAGGAGTTTAAACAGAAGTGTCTTCTTGCTCAATTATGCATTGGGCATTACTCCTCTGCATCGGCTTCTCTGAGCCAGTGGTTGACACTGCTATGGCAAGGGCAGTTTATCCATGGCACAACTGCTGTTGACTTCATACAAATGAGCACTTGAAATTTCTCATCAACTCTTCTAAACAAGCCAAGGTTTCGTATGCCAAACAGGAACATGCAAAAATACAAATTAGAAAAATATATTTATATCGTAAACATCTTTTTTGTTATGAAGATGGTTTAAAATGTACCTGTATATATTACGGCTGTTTTAAAATGACCGTTTTTGCACTAAAATTGGTAAAGGAATCACATTGGTCAGTGAAAGCTTTTGCTATTGATGATTGCGTCTTATGGGCTTGTGTGTCGTTCGTCGCTGTCACATGAATATGTGAAGCTTTTTTGTTGTTCACCAATCACGTTTGAAATCACTCGCCACGTCCTTCTGTAAATGCATTCTTCATCTCCTGTTTTTCTCTTTAAATCGTCTTTGGATTTTATTAGCAATGTGATTTTGTCTTTCTTGCCTATCGCTTGAACTGCTTTGAGTGTCTTTTGTTGCATTGTTTTATTTTAATATTATTTAATCACCTATTTGTAGCTGCCAACTGTTTTGAATTGACGGTGCATTATTTGATATATAGAGGAATGCTTTGAGCTCTATATATTTTTTTATATATGTATATTGTGCATTGAAGAAAATTGGAGATATTTTTTTTTTTACCATGAGAATAGAGCAGTAGTGCTCATCTCCATTGATGACCTCGAGCCTCTCAAGGAAATTCCACATTCTCAAGATGACGGCCAGGAAAACCGCTCTTGACTATAAAAGAGCGGTTGTCGGCATGGGGGGATGGTATCCCAAGTTGATCCCCAACCAGGAGTTGAACTTATTGCATTTTGGTTGTGAGTTGAATGATGGAACCAAAGTGCCAACCTGGCTGGATGAGTTTGCATCTTTCTCGAATATTAAATGTTCGATCGTGATCTCAGTTTAGCCGCAGAATCACTGAGGCTCAGTGTCTGCTCCTTTGCCGTCCCCTCTGCTATGAACATTCGCTCACTCATTGGACTGAGACAAAATTCAACAAAATTAAGAGTGCTATTATGGCCAAAAATCAGTGTTGCCTTTGACTTTAAAAGTTGGCAGCTATGTAATATTACACGTCCTGAAAGGCCTTGGCTATGGATTAGTTTTTTTGCATTTTTGCAATCAAAATTATGACATTTCAGTTGCTGATAAACATTTTTAAAGCATACATCTTGTAAAGATGTTAAGATATGTCCTTTTCAGCCTGAAATAATTCTTTGTTTAATTTGTGTGTTTTTGATTTCTGTACCTTATTTTTGGCTTCTTTATCATTAATTTCTTATTAAAAGTTATGCCTCAGCCACTGTCTGGTACTCTATACATTTTGTCGATCTCCAATCGATAGCGTTATATGTGAGACATTCTTTTTACGTGCTGCATTTTCTCAGAAATCTCAATGTTTTAATACGCAAAGAAAATTTTACGTAGAAAAACTGGAAAATATTCAGTTGGGTGGCAATCCTCTTGAATCATGCAAACATCATTGTCTGAGTAACCTGCAGAGCTGTGGATATTCACAGTCCCAACGGCAGTGTCTGATCTCTCTCCATATGTTCACATTTCACAAAGCGATTTCCATTTCATCTACACCAGAGGGAAGTTGGGCTGAGTTAACCTCCAATGGATCTTACAGCCCTCCTTTTGTGAATTAAACACACGACCACAATGCCACCTGACCAGACATTACATATGAACACGTGTGTGTGTGTGTATGTCCAGAACAAAACCTTGGTAAGAGCTCGACTGTCGTGAGCTTGACTGCCTGCATTACTTCCTGCCCTCCACATCCAACACGACTGTTTACGTGAAGCGTTAACTTTACACAAAGTTCATAACAGGCACTTTCACCACATCGTTTTTGTGGCCCAGCTTGACTCTGCACCGGTAGTTTTTTTTGAGTCCATCTGACGACACACGTGTGTGCATGTGTGGTCCATGTGGGAAGCGGTGGTGCAGTGGCTAGTGCACTCTGCAACAAACCCAATGACCTCGTTGGAGTTCCCGGCTATGGGCTACGTCACGGGCGAGGACAGCTCCTCCGTACACGAGTGCTTGGTGCGACGTGTAAACATCGACAGTGGGGAGACGATGGTGGGCAGGCATGCACTGTGCTGGTCCTAATATGTGCTTCACTCAATTTGGTCTGTTAAAGTATTTGTCCCAACAGTTTGTTAAAGGCTACACAAGGGGGGGGGGGGGGTGGAATATTTGTAATTTTTGTGTGCTTGAGGAGCAGTGGTATTGTGGTATGAACCTGGATATGTCGATTCAATTTCATAAATGGCAGATGGTGTCCGAACCTGTCTTGGTCGTTTTATAGGTCAACTTAGCCCGGTTTAGTGCAACATGTGGCACTGTGGAGACAAAGGCAGACGCTTGTGGTGCTGGCCACACAACCACTCAATTTCCATGCAAGCATTCATAGGTGTCTACCAACACCATTTGCTCTTACAGTCATTTGCACGCTTATTTGTGTGTGAATACATCTGTATGCCAACTGGAGGTTTGAGTTCAACACTGTAATCCCAGCCGCCATGATTCAGCCGTGGGTAACGCACGCGGCAATCCATATCTGAACCTGGTCTGGGTCAGCGTCATCCCAAACAAATGAATACTTTCCGCAGTATTTCCACCGTCAGCGCCGGGCAGACGAACGTGGTCACCGTTTTGCTGTGCCCACACTCGATGGGCGGGGGTCGGGCGGGGGTCGGCGGGGGCTGTGCAGGGACTCTCCAACAGCGCTTGCTCTGGCAGGGCGGCGTCCCGCGGGGCTAAGCGGGGGATTCCGCGCGCGTGTCGCCCTTTGCCGTGCTCGAGCAGGCTCCATGACGCTGCAGCAGTGGCAGCAGCTGGCCCAGCCGCACCTGGGCGGGATCCTGGACGCGCGCCCCGGCGTCATCACCAAGGACTCGTGGCCGACCCTCCCCCCACCCTCGTGGGGTCATCCCATCTACCGGATGAGCGACTACGAGGAGGACGAGCCAGGTGAGGCCGCTTTGTGGCCACCTCACCGGCCGCCCGTCCCCCCTGCCGCGGTGCATCCGCTTGCGGAGGCCCGTGTCCTCTCGCCTTGGATACCGCAAATCTCTCCCCTGCGACCTCGCCTCCCCCCAAACTCCAGATGACTCAGAAGTGCTGCTGCCAGACTTGTTGCTCGTGTCCTCGAGCACAGACCGCATCGCTCGAGTCCTCAGGTCTCTCCACTGGTGACAGGATCGCCCCCGCGCCGTCTTCAAGATCCTCCAATGAATTGCCATTATTCAGTGCCACGAGTCTATTCATGACTCAATTCTTATTTTGGCAGATAAAAAAAAACTTCTACATGTATATGAGTAAAAAAAAGATGTTTACATGCACTGTTCGATGCATGTATCGTGTGCGTAACGATTGACTTCAGTCGGAGAATCCTCTGCACCGTGACCTTCAGTGTAGCGATTGATTGTAACCAGGGGCTGCCTGGCACATTTCCCCACCATTGTCCAATGCTTACGTGAAGTCCCCGGTGAGCACAATTAATGTGCTTCTCACCCACTGTTAACCCTTACCTCCCGTCCCTGACCTTCCCCCCCCCTCCCCCCACCGTTTGTTCTCCCCGTTCTGCCCCCAGTGTACTTCCCCGGCAAGTGCGTGTCCCAGACCAACTACACGTATACGCTCACCACGTGTCGAATCATGCACCCCTCGGATGTGACGGCCATCACCACCAGGTGAGCCCTTGCACTCGCCATGATGCTCGGGACTTGGTGTCGGATGCTGCTGCTGTTGTGCCGTCCCAAAGATGCCTCGCCGCTCCTGCATTTGCCATTGTGAATGAGGCAAAGCTGCTATGCGCACATAGCCTGCGGCCTGGTATGGCTGGCAATGTAACCGTGTTATTGTTGTGTTGTTGTTGTTCTGCATAGTCCCCGTGTAGTGCGGTGCTCTTGACCGTGTGGCATGTTGAACAAGAAGATGACGCTATGAAGCGTCAGTGTAGAAACATCAGCCACGAATGTTAAATTCACCTTCTGTATTTGTGAAACTGTCACAATCGTCAATACGTTGCTGCGGTCACCTATACTTCCATTGCAAACTTGCTCGTGTGTGTCAACAGGCTGTCACTTAGTTAACTCGATGACATTAAAGTGATTTTAGAGTGCTCAACAAAAGCCACAAAGGTCGTTAATTCAAATCGGAGTCCACTTTTCACAAACCGTAATGCATGTTGTCATGTTTAGTGAGTTTGATGGCCTCAGTGAGGTCACCAAAGTCTGCACAAAAGCACATTAATAATAATTGAGTCTTAACGCCATTTCACGAGGTGTACAACCAAAGAGGGCACAGCTGTAGTGGCTCTGCGATGTGGATCATGAAGGATGACAGCTAGAAGCCAGTGATGTCACCTCGAGGAAAAAGGCTTTACTTTGAGGGAGCTTCTCATGGAAATATCTTTTAATTTGCAAATAGGAATAAATATAGGAATATAATTTCGATCAAATGAACTACAATTAGATGAAATAAATCGGATTAAATAGGATGAATATTTCAAATGAATGTATTATATCTCACAAATGTAAATAGTAATTATAAAAAAAAACATGAAATTGTGTTCTCCTGCTCAAATTGTCAGGAAGACCTTTTAGGTGGCCTTGAGCCAGTGGTGCAAATTCCACATTCCCATGGCGGGGGCCAGTCTTGTTGTACCATCACCACCATGGACTTCCCACAAAGTAGTCTCACAATACTGACTTCATGAGTATGATGGGCTGAGTGAAGCCACAATGATGAAACCCACCCCTACCACACACGGCAGCCCACCTCTAGGGGTCAGTATTATTCCAGTTCAGTCGTTGATGATGCTTATTGGTGAAGATTTGGTCAAGTGTCAATTCTCCAAGACACAATTACAAATTTGATAATGGGACATTTGGACATTACGTGGAGTTCTTAAAATTAGTAGATATATAAAGGTATGTAAAAAAATAACATTAATGGCAATGAGTACAATTGGCTGCAAATTAATCTTTCTGTAATAGATAAGTAAGCTGACATGCACAGCATACGTGTCTACAGGATATGTACTAAGAATGTAAAAAATCATAAAAATCGAGTATTTTCCTCGTCATATCTGTCTCAATTGCATGCAAAACATTAATAATTCAATATTCTATTCATGTGTATTGTTTGTGGTAGGTTTGCCCATGAGCCACAAGGACAACACAAATAATCAGTTAATCACGAGTTTAAATGTGACACCACATATTGTGACAATTCATTGAGATGGTGAATCATTATTCGCCTAATTTACACCTAACTGTGCAAAGTGTTCCGTTATCACCACATTCTTCAAGTGCAAGCTCTCCGTTAGTAGAGCACATGCAAATCAGCACGTCACTGTGTGAGATGCTCACTTACTAAAGTTTTTCGGGAAGAGTACAACACAACTTTGGGATGTATTGGTTTCATCATTTAATATCTGAGGTTCAGAGAAGCACAATTAACACTTTTAAGAACCTTAGTGTTCTTTATTAATGGCTTTATAGCTGCAGGAAACACTCCGGTATATTCCATAAACTAAATTACGGGTCTTTTGAAAAACGATTTGTTTCTGCAATGAGCGCTGTTCTGGTTATACAGGGTGTGTGTGTGTTTTGTATATATTTCTGTGCAGTGGTTATTATATGAACTGGCCCTGGGCCTCTCTCGAGGTCGATTGCACATTAAATGAGTACCCGGCACCATGTGTGGACATCAGCGCTGGAGAAACAAAAGCAGCCGGGCGTGGTGTTAGCCACCCACCCACGCCATGCTGAGCTACCATTAATGCTTGCTAACAGCACTTACTCCAACAGTCTATTCATGGTTATACACGCGATGTTTGGCTTTGCCATATATGCATGTATCTGTCTGACGAGCAGCGTTGCAGTGGTTAATCCTCTAAACTAAGATCTCAGCGAATGCTGCCTCGTGTGATGCACATTGCCTTTAACAGTTGTAATACGAGCCTGCCGGAGGCCTACCCCCGATTGACTCAACCGGAGTTGAATTCCTAGCAAAGGGCATGGTCCATGGCCACCCTTCCCCATCGTGTGCCATGCCGGCCATTATCACGTGCTCACTAACGGCACTTGCTGCTAATGCTGGATGGGGGAATTATCATCTTCGTGTGTTAAGGTCACACTTTATATTTTATTTACCACTGACTGTGCGTCGTCTTGTAGCCGTTTCTGCACGACGTTATCTTTGATGCGCTTCACTGTTTTGTTATACTCAGGCTTTGGCTGAAATGTTTCATGAAGCCGTCTAAATTATAAACGGTCAACAACGAACAGTAAGACACTGCTACATTCAAATCCGCCCGAGCGTAGTTTTAGAACAAGTGATTATAACCCTTCCTGTAGTGTGTGCTGTCGGTAGACCTCTACTAACACGGTTATGGAAACACTCCTGTTTAAGTATGCCTTTAGATCTTCTGCTTTTAAAAATCTACGCTCATTAATGCTGAATTTTATGGACTGTAATTCTTTGGTGTCGTGATTTACAATGATTTAACTCCACTTCTCTCGCAAGTAGAGGTCAGCTTGGTTGAAAATGACCGTCTCTGATCTTGGGCTCAGGGTGCCAGAGCAATCTGCTTCACTTATTGCGGCACTCTCTTGTTGATGATGAAAAATCAGTGCAATCTTTTTTTTTCTAGATTTGAAGCTTTCGTGACTGCAAGGATTCATACGCTTTGTTTTTTTCGGTAAAGTCACGTAGGTAAAAAATAAAATTAAATTTAAGAAAATAACTAAATTAAATCACGACGTTTTGGGCGCAACACAAGCGTCCTTCTTCAGGTGGGGCCAACGTAGCGAAAGCACAACCGCTTAATTGTGTCTAAGAGATGGCTGTGACGAAGAATTATATAGACGCGACACACTTAAGCGGTTGTGCTTTAACTACGTTGTCCCTACCTGAAGAAGGACGCTTGTGTTGCGCCCAAAACGTCGTGATTTAATTGAGTTGTTTTCTTTTCTTTTATTTTTTACCTACGTGACTTTACCGAAAAAACCAAAGAGAATGAATCTTTTTCTTGGAGGACAATGCTCAATAAATGTGTATATACGTGTGGATGTGTGCCTACGGTGAGTCTAGCCAATGAAGCCGGTGTCTCTGCTCACGCGAGAAATGGGGCAGCAATAATCTCCTTCCAAGCCAGTCATGGAAATTCTACATTCCCTTGGCAGGGGGACCAGTTTTTTCCCCCATAATATACTCACCGTTCACTTCCCACAAAATGGTACTCGGGTTTATTGAACGCGGAGGGATGATATGTTAAGTGAAGCCACACTTGGGATGATAACACGCAACTGTCTGGTTGTGAGTCTCTTATCACCAGACCTTATGATTATTACTCAGATCCAGCTGTGTGGCGATATTTAATCAGGGATCAAATCAGCCCTTCATCCCTCTAGGCTTGATAAAAAAAATTAGTGCTACATCGTTCACAGTGGTCCACGGTGGTTGTCCTGTGAAAAGACTTGCCGCCTGTTATCAGCGAGTGACATTTCCATGACTGGCTCAGGGTTGAAACAGGAGATGAGCGTCACCCCATGCTCATGCGAGTGAGAAACCACGTCGTCCTGATGTCGTTAACCACACAATGCGCTCTCTCTCTGGCCCAGTGGCATTGTGCGCGTAGCGCTCGACTCGCTATGTTTCGGGCATGCAGACAATTTGACCTTGACTCCCTTGGCTGCACAACTTCAGAATCAGAATATTTATTTATACCGGAGGAATTCGATGAACTTTAAAGCTCTTTTTCTCAGATGTCCAGTAGGGGCGGGTCAGAACGTTACAACAGCTGGTAAGATAAACTATTTTTATCTCACCAGATAAAGCCCATTGAACTATGAACTTATTTTTCAGAAGCGACCCGGCCAGAAATGATAGCTCAACAAAATGGCTTACCACGTGGAAATTTCTAACAGTAAAATAATCTAAATAATCTTAATAGCAACTCCTGGCTGCCCATCGTATCACGGGCGTTGCTTCACAAATTGATCTTGTCGCACGCTCCTCTTCCCCGCAGCGGATCTGGCAGCCTCGCCACGAGGCTGTTTGACAGCGTAGCGTCCAGCCCCGTGCCGTCCCGCCGCGCCAGCCTCGCCGAGTCCTTCACCAACGCCCGCGAGTCGACCCGGACCTGCAGCGCGACCCTGCGCCTGCCGGAGCTGCTCCAGGAGCGCGGCATCTCTGCCGCGTCGCCGCCGCCGCCACCGCTGGCGGAGCAGCGGCAGCAGTTGGCCGCCGCGCACGGCATGACGAGCCGCCCCCGAACGTTGCCCCTGGCCACGGCGACACCGCCCAACTCGCCTTTGCGTGCCGACTTGCCCTCTCCGCTCTTGTCGCCGCTCGCTTTCCCGCCGCTGGGACAGCCGGCCGAGGTGTTCCTGGCCTCCAAGCCGGCCACGGCAGTCCTCAAGGAGGTCATGGGTCAACAGAGGCTGACGAGCAACACGGGAAGCCAGACGGAGCTCAGTGCCAACCACTTCACTCTGGTGCAGAGGCTGAGGAAGCTGGGCATCGGCTCATCGAACGTGGGCGTGCGCGGCGGTGGTAGCGCAAGCAGTGGTGGCGATGACGGTGGTGATGCCGACAGCGGTCGTAGTCGTGATGGCGATGGCTGCGATGGTGCTGCCGCTGCTACATCAGCATCAGCGGTTGCCAAGCCCTTGGCTGCAAAGTACGTGCAGATACTGGAGCGACTCACGCAGTCATTCGCCGGACGGCTGCGACCTGCTCTTGCGGGCATGACGGATTCGATTCGCGGAGCTGGCGAAAGTAAGTGCGGACATTATCATAGCAGCGGAGACCACGATAGTTGCACGGGCAGGGAAATGATGGATCCCGACGCCTGCCGTCGTGTCATCAGCCCCGAAGTGCCGTGCGGTGGCCTCAAGAGGTCCGCTGTCCGACCCGACGAAGTTGAATCGCGCGAGTCGAAGGTGGCAGCCGTTGGACTGGCCTGCGCACTGGGGTTCACGGATAGCAGCGAGCCTGCACGGGTCCACTTGCGCGGGGCTTGTGGAGATGACGACCGAGCCGACCGTTGGAACGTTGAGTGTGACTTGGTGAACAGCAAGTCGGCCGAAAAGCCAGTGTCTAGGCACGGGATGAAGCGGTCTCTGAGCCTGAACAGCGCGGTGTTGATAGGGGGAAGGTCTCCCCCGCAGACCAGCCCTCCAGGGCTGGCTGGGATCATGGAACTCTAACAAGCGATCTCGGCGATGCGAGCAACTGACGTGTGCGTAATGACCTGCGCAGAATGCACTGTGTAAATATATCGTGTGCCTAACTGTATTATAATGAAACGCAATTGGTATATTGCATGGATGAAAACGGCCTTTGATTGGTGCATTGTTACGGCAGTTGTTGTGTAGTTAACACGGTTAACAAGTGTGTTCGGATTGCATTTAAATACCAAAAGTTAAGAACAAAACAAGGACGACTGCGATTATCATGTACATCGTTTGTTCCATATTGCACTTGAATATGTCCATGTTTTATCTTCTCTACGTGTATAGCGGGTGTGGTTGTACAGGTGTATGTCTTCGTTTTGCTTGTATATATGTACTTTTTTTTATTACTTTTATTTTCTCATCTGGTAGAGTTACACAAAGCACGTTTTTATAATCACCCTCGATACACTGTTTGAGTTTACAGAGCTTCCATAAACACCGTCAGCTTATGTGTATCGCTATAGTTGTAAGCAGAAGAAACCCTTAACATCAGCACTTTAACATATCATTACTTTCAACATCACAGCCACCTTAAAAATCAATGTTATTTATCTGCGATGCACAGAAAACATGCAGCGCACTACATCTGTAAATTATCCACCACACATGTTAAACCAGGAACTTTTTTAACACCCAACACCGTGCATCCCAAACTGTAGAAGACGGTGTGGTTTTAAGCTGAATGCAACATGCAAAGAACAAAGGACACCATTGACTCCGAGTGCCATCCAGCCAAGGTTATGGATTATTGCCAGGATAAGTGCTCGCATGGGAAATGGAACTAGGATGAGGCCAGGAAAATCATACAATCTAAGGTTTGAAGAACTCGAGATACTAAAAGAGACAGCGAGGAAGAGTATGATGGAGAAAAAGCATTTTAATAGTTGATCAAACAGAGCAGTGTTCATGGGAGGGGAAAACAAGAATGAGCTGTCCTGCATATGCGAGACAGCGTGACAGCAGGAAATGCGAGTGAGAGTAAGATAACGCAGAGGTGTTGGAACAGCAGATAATTAACACCTTGCTACGACCAGTTTTAAACTGACACACTTCACACTGGTTTAGGCTTCCATGAACTGTGCAGCCTGTAGGCGACAATTCCCCAATCCCTTTGGTGGGAAAGATTTTGTGAGGTTAGGTGCGGTGAGGTATGGCGGGTTGTTGTTTTGCAAGTAATTCCTTAATTAGGTCTAAACCTTACACTATGAACTATGACAAAAAAAAAAAACTTTGTCATATATTAAGGTTGAGTTTACAATTTTAAAATCTAAAATTTTTTCTCCATTTGTTGCTGTTTTAAAAGAAATGTGGTTATTGAACGACGTGGTAAACTTGTGCTTCTCACCTAGTAAATACAAACACAACTTTGCCTACCATTCGAATAACCCACACTGGTGCTGTTCGGGTAAACAGCCAAGGTGACCCATTTTTAATTGGCTGCCTAAAACTGGTCATGGGAATGAGTCGGAAGTCACCACTCGTGGTGGTCACTGGGGCTTGTGGCCTGGCCCGGCTGCAGGACATCGAGTGCGCGTGCAATATCACCATCCTTGGTCTGAAGCGGACGGACGAGCCATGCTCCCTCGTCTCGAGAAGCCCGTGGAAAGCGTCTGCGGCAGAGCTTTTCGACCGGACGTGACTCGGCGTCGTTAGGGAGGATGGGGTAAGCGGCGGCCTCCCTCGGTCCTCCGTCGTCCTACTCGCGTCATCCCCAGGTGTCACATTGCTCCACTCATCATCGCATTGTTTGCATAGAGGTTCCCAAAGCTTGTAGAGGCCCCAACACTTGTGTTAAATCCCCCCCCATGGGATAGCACAACCCCCAACATGCATGGCAGCCAAAATTAAAGGAATGCGAGGACCCTTGGGAGCCACGGCATCCGTGTCGTCCATGTGGGCAAGGGGCGCCATGTGGCCAAGGGGCACCATGTGGTCCAGTGGCGCGAACCCATCCCCAGGCACGAGGCCCTTGCTGCTGCCAGTTAGGGAACGGGATGCCCTCTGTGCCCTCCGTTCCGCCCGTGCTCGCTGTGCCCACCGTGCCCACGCCGTGCACCCTGATCGAGTTTGATGTACGCGCGGAACACATCCTCGGAAAGGTTGCCCAGAGCTTCCGTAACCTCCTGGTCACTGGAGAATGCGATGAATGCCATCATCAAAATCCTTGTAATGCATGGTGAAGCTTGCATCGGCCGAGGATGGGAAGGCCTGGGCAATGTTCCCCTTGAGGTAGATGAAGCTGCTGCTTGCATCCACGTCCATGGCCACGTGGCGAGTCTCCGGACGAGACACGTGCTTGCGCAGCAAAATTAGCGTTTACGGTGAAGGCCATCGTTGATATCGGTCGGCGAAGGGGCCGCCTCGCTACACTTGACAAGGGACAGCTTGTTAAGGTCAGCCGAGAGAGACCAAGGTGGGAGCGAAAGGATCAGTCTTCTCAGCGAGCTTGCTAAAGGCCCTCTGTTTATGTGCGATGCACCACTGACATAGTGCCATCCCCCCCGTGTACGTTGTATAAAGTGTATATAATATGTACATATTTAACAAATAATTTATATGTGCTCAAAAGGAATTTAAAGCTTTACTGCCAGTTGTGCTTCTAACATTGAATCCTTTGTCGCTCGGTGTTAAATGATGCCACTCAACATGTTTTTACTTTGATAAAAGCAAAGGGAATGCTTATGATAGCAGATGCAGACAGTTGGTAGGGTAGTACAGTATGCACTTTTTGAAACAATGAGGCCGAATTGTGAATATTAAAATTAACTGAAAGCGTACTTGAAAAGTGGACTCACTATGCACTTGGAGTATACATTGGGAAGCTGCGTAAGTATTCATGAACACGGGTTCAGCCTCAAGTGTCGGCATTGAAACCTGCGTTCCTGTGAATCTGTTTTCCAGTCCCTACCTGTGGGGAAACCGTAATTCACGTGTTTCAATGGGAATTCTAAATGATACTGGGCTGCCGAATGTGACCTGGGAACACTTTCAAAAGTAAAATCGAAGTGTCTCCCTGCTGAAGTGAGCATGGGGTGATGGTCATATCCATTGGCGCGACCCTGACCCCGCGGATTAAATTCCACATGTTATGGGGGGGGGGGCATCAACACATGTTACGTTACCCTTAAATCGTTTAACAGATTAAAGGCCTGATGCAAGAAGGGGTGAACTGAAGGTTTAACTAATCACAGCATCCATTACCAGCCTCCTGCTGAATGAAGGCCTCAACCACATTGTGACCATCCGTCACGGCCTTGCGAGTGATCCACCTCGCTGCTGCCTGCCGTACACGGGCTTGGCTCATCGCCCCCATCCCTGCGGCGTGCGTGTCCCATGCGCGTGTCCTTTCTGTTGGCTGCCAATGCATCACCAGCCTCCTCCATTGGCCATCATCCTTTCTGTCCATCTCTCCTGCTCGAGGCCACTTAAGCTTCTTAGCAGTCAATACGATGTCTCAGTAATTTGCTTCGATTTTCTGGTTATTGAGTTCCGCTACTTGCCCGCTCACGTCCCTCCATGCACTTTTCAATTTCTTTTCCAGCGTCCACCTTTTCGATTCGTATGTCTATCGTGCGTTAAAATACTCAAATGTCAGCTTGCTCGATTGAGTGTGGGGTGGCGCTCCTCACCGTGGAAATTCGACATTCCTGTGGCAGGGGCCAGGCTGTCCATAGGAAGGACAGTTGGGCACTGACTGCACATCGAGCTTTCAAGCTGCCGAGTCGGTCGCTCTGCCACAGTGCCATTCAGCCAGATTAATAATACGCATGCTTATTAATAACATTTTCTTTTTTTTCCTGTGTGGACTGAATACAATTGGAAGTGGGTAAATTTGGGAGAGATTTGGGTTAGATAACATTTCTGAGTTAAAATCCCAGTTTGGGTCAAGTTGTCCGCATCTATCACCAGCAGCTGTCATCTGGACCTCAGTACCCTGTTCAAAGCCACGTGGAATTTTCTCCCTCGGCTCAGCACTGACAATGGAGATCAACAAGCATCGCTCCGAAAAACAAGGATATTAACGTTTGAAACGCAGCGTTAATGTGCCAGGATACTTACATATTCTGCATAGAATAATTTGTATTATCAACACTACAATCGAAAATACCATGTATGCAAATTAGAAGTCAAAAACAGTTTGAGAACATCAAGGGTGTTCTAGAAATACCGAGGCAATTCTGGAGTGGGGTACCGAGTTAATTCTATGAAGACCAAATGTAGCCCCTTTAGAGCTAGCAATATTATTTATATAGACTTTTATAGTATAACAACATAATAAAGTGATAAAAAGGACGAAGCCACTGAAATTCACAATCCAATTTCGAAACGCAACATCCAACGCTTCCTGTGGAGTCGCAGTCGTAACCACCACGATGCATTGGGAAACTGCCCCGGCACCTTGCACGCGGATCCAACGTCGATGTCCATTGCCAGTGAGTTCCCTTGGCCGTGCGTGTGGGACGCGGTCCACCCAGCCACGTTGTTACGAAGACACCACCTGTTTCTGTGCCCACGTGTTCACAGTGGTGCAAGTTTATATAACACACCTTGACTACTTGCATCTTCCTTCATGAAGTTAGTTGCGTTATATGGTGTATAATCAAGTACGTATTATTGTATACATTGTGCACTAACTTGTGTACAGTTTTGTATATATTGCTGTATATTGCTGCGATACTGTGTGTACAAACCAAAATATTGTATATATATGGTAAACGGTAGACATATATGCGTGCCACCACACCATGTATAAAATAGTCTTTACCGTACTGTATATAATGTATAAACAATTACAAAGGTCCCCCATGTAGCCGTCTAGCCCGATGGGGCGAGTGCTGTTTGCAGACATCTGAGAGTGCCGGCAGAGCACCGGGGAGGCTTGCAGTGGGCAGCAACACGCAGCACGTCTGGCCAGTGTCGCCTCCCCATCACGAGATTGACACTCCGCGCGAGGTACTCATTTTTAAGGCTTACCTACCGCGAGTCAATCTGGGGAGTTGAAGCCAAGTTGCACTATAACAGAGCACTTAACTGAAATTGGGTCAATCCGAGTTAAAATCTTGGTGGGAGGTTGATACACTCCCCCTCCCCCCATCATTCCTCTGCTGCCGAAACAAAGTGCCACTTTATGGAAAGTCAAAACGACGACTTTGTATCAATCGGTTGGTCCCCGTGATAGGAATATGGAATTGCCACCACTGGCTTGAATTTCAAGCCCCTCGAGAGAAAAGAGGGCCGTCCAGTGCACGTTTAATGGAGAGACATTGAGGCCCTGGCCATAAGCCGGTTCAGACACCAATTTACACTAGCGCTGTATTGGACCAAAGCGTGAACACTGGTCCTCGACAAAGGTCAGTGTGCGAACCCCCCCACCACAGCACCACAGGCCCAGATCTACACCAGAAAAACCAATGCCCGCTTTGGTCATCAGAGTTGCGAAAATGCAATAAACACAAATCACGAGCTGCAGTTTCTGTTTTATGCGATGTTTTGAAATGCAACCTATATATCGTTGAATTGATTCACACACACACACGTGTTTTCATGCTTTTCCGCTGGACTTAAACTGACGGAGCGCTTTGGCATCTGTGAGCTTTGTTCATTGACGCAAGTTGTACATATTGTCTCTACTTTTGCAAATGCATAACGTAAATTTTTTTGTGGGTTTTTAAAAAATAAAATTCTCAGCTTCGTTAAATACGTTTTTTTCCCCTCCAAGTCGTGCAATAAACATGTCAGTCCGTCAGTTGACATGAACGGCTGGGGTCCATTGCATTCATCCACATTGATCTCTGCTGCATATGCCCTCAGTAGTAGCCAATTCATTGATGCTTTCATAGCATTCTCAGGGAACAGAGTAACATGACATATGTAGTGGCTTTACTTAGAGACACACACTAACTCAGGAGGCAACATGCTTATTCTATAGACCACAACGGGCTAACGACATAAACTGGGTCAGGACAGTCGGCACACTGCCTGACCCACGATGCCGAGCACGAAGACCAAACACCGAAGAACCAGGCGAAGAGGCAGCACGGAGGACTCCATTCCAGCAGACAGCCCCGACCCAGCCTTGGGACCTCCCTTTAATGCCGCCCAGCGTGGCCTGGCTCCGCCCTCGGCCACGCCCCCTTCTGGACCTACCAGAAGGTTCTGGGCCATACCCCACGTGTCCCTTCTGTCACCTTTGGCCCACATCCTTACCCTGGCCTATCACGTGCTCTTGCCAGCCAACCGGGCTGCTACATCCTCAGATGCCCCCTCTCTGCCAGCCACTAGCACTACGCCCCCTAGGGACCGGTTCCGTGACATTGCATGCCCTACTGGTAGAGAGGGCTACTACACTCCCAGGGCACATCTCGATCAGTAACTGGCGCTAGGCGCCGTAGTGACCCATTGTATCTCACTAGACATAGTATCAGATAATTGCTCCTGAACGGTGTTACAGAACTACAACCAAATGACCCTAAATGTGACCGTCCTCGTCTGATCTTGGAAGCTAAGGAGAATTGACCCTGGTTAATGTTTGGATGAGAGACTGCCAGGGTATATAGGTTGCTGTAGGCTTAGGCTGCAAGGTGTCCCGGAGATGCGGCACAGCAATGGATTGAAACTGTGTGGAACTTTGCGTGTTATAAGAATAGGTTTCATCCCAGTATTCTGGTTTCCTCCCACATTCCAAATACTCACAAATTAAGAATGTCTTCAGACTAAATAAGGACATTAACTCTGTCTCAAGAAAAATCTCCGCTACTTGTCTACATGTAAACCCATCATTCTATAAGACCGTGCTTGGTTCTTGCACTGTGCTGAGATTAATCGCAAAAACAAATGTGAAGTATTTTTTCTTGTACCCTGAAATGATGTGATGTATTTCCTGCTGTGAGAGGTATGAAAGGAATTGGCTTACAATCTGGCAGTGCTGCAGTGGCAGAGTGCTCGCACCATTATTGGAGTGTCGTGGGTTCTTGGTTCAAATGCCAGTCGGGGGGTATTCTTAGCCCATCATTTTTAAGGGGCCGATAAAATATTGAATACTTTGTGGGAGGATGTCATTGATTGTCCGATTGAGAGGCAAGCTTCTGTCAGAAAGGAAAGTGGAACTTTACACCAATGTTTTTTATCATAAATTGAAATGAGTACTACTCCATGCTCGTTTACATTTTGATGCATTCGTTGCTGACAGGTTGGGAAAATCATCTCCCGATACTTGAGAACTCTATTAAATCACAAGTGGTTATAACGTGGATTTGATTCCAAGTTCTTAATGGGCATTGCTCTGACTTCACCTTCACCCTGAGACGCCTTGCCTTTTAAGGTGTATCTTCTTGGTTCTTTCGGTAAAGTCACGTAGAATGGAAATAATAAAATAATAAAATAAAACATAATAATATAATTCTCGCGACGTTTCGGCCACAACGCAAGCAGCCGTCCTCAGGTGAAGACCAGGTCTGTCGGGGAGACGCTGTCTTCACCTGAGGGGACGGCTGCTTGCATTGTGGCCGAAACGTCGTGAAAATTATCTTATGATGTTATATTTTATTATTTTATTATTTCCATTCTACGTGACTTTACCGAAAGAACCAAGAAGATGAATCCCTGCAGTCACGAAAGCTTTAAATCGAAATTTTAAGGTGTACTTTATTATTAGTAGACACAATGCGGAATTACTTTTATGACGGTGATAACATTGGGGTTACACATTTGGTGGTTCAAATCAAGGTCACTGATAACTGCAAGCGATGCATTTCATGGTGAGCACACACGATTTGCAATGCAGAGGTTACCGGCTCGATCCAACCTCGTGGCGTGGCGGCTGAAACAATGGGAACTTTACTTGCACCCTCCGGCCTCTGTCCACCCAACGGTGAGAATGGGCACCCCGTGGGCACTGTCGTCTATTAGTACGTCGAGTGTGGCGGGGTAGAGTGTGGCGGGGTATAGCGTGGTGGGGTAGAGAGTGGTGGGGTAGAGAGTGGTGGGGTAGAGTGTGGTGGGGTAGAGTGTGGTGGGGTAGAGTGTGGTGGGGTAGAGTGTGGTGGGGTAGAGAGTGGTGGGGTAGAGTGTGGTGGGGTAGAGAGTGGTGGGGTAGAGTGTGGTGGGGTAGAGTGTGGTGGGGTAGAGTGCGGTGGGGTAGAGAGTGGTGGGGTAGAGGGGGGTGGGGTAGAGAGTGGTGGGGTAGAGTGTGGTGGGGTAGAGCGTGGTGGGGTAGAGAGTGGTGGGGTAGAGTGTGGTGGGGTAGAGTGTGGTGGGGTAGAGAGTGGTGGGGTAGAGTGTGGTGGGGTATAGCGTGGTGGGGTAGAGTGGTGGGGTAGAGTGTGGTGGGGTAGAGTGTGGTGGGGTAGAGTGTGGTGGGGTAGAGTGGGTGGGGTAGAGTGTGGTGGGGTAGAGTGTGGTGGGGTAGAGAGTGGTGGGGTAGAGTGTGGTGGGGTAGAGTGTGGTGGGGTAGAGAGTGGTGGGGTAGAGAGTGGTGGGGTAGAGTGTGGTGGGGTAGAGAGTGGTGGGGTAGAGTGTGGTGGGGTATAGCGTGGTGGGGTAGAGAGTGGTGGGGTAGAGTGTGGTGGGGTAGAGTGTGGTGGGGTAGAGTGTGGTGGGGTAGAGTGTGGTGGGGTAGAGAGTGGTGGGGTAGAGTGTGGTGGGGTAGAGAGTGGTGGGGTAGAGTGTGGTGGGGTAGAGTGTGGTGGGGTAGAGAGTGGTGGGGTAGAGAGTGGTGGGGTAGAGTGTGGTGGGGTAGAGAGTGGTGGGGTAGAGTGTGGTGGGGTAGAGAGTGGTGGGGTATAGCGTGGTGGGTATAGCGTGGTGGGGTAGAGTGTGGTGGGGTAAAGCGCGGTGGGGTAGAGTGTGGTGGGGTAGAGTGTGGTGGGGTAGAGTGTGGGTGGGTAGAGTGTGGGTGGATAGAGCTCGGTGGGGTAGAGTGTGGTGGGGTAGAGCGTGGCGGGGTATAGCGTGGCGGGGTGGAGCGTGGGTGGGTAGAGCGTGGGTGGGTAGAGCTCGGCGGGGTGGAGCGTGGCGGGGTGGAGCGTGGCGGGATGGAGCGTGGCGGGGTAGAGCGTGGCGGGGTAGAGCGTGGGCACTCTCGCCTCTTCCCAGATGTCTACCCATTGTGGCAGAGCAGGCAGAACGACCTCTTGGAGCAGCTCTTTAGTGGGAGGTCTCTCCATCAGCAGTGGTGCGAGCAAAGGAATTGCACGGGCTGCAACCCTTACTTTGTTTTGTTAGCTTACACATCCGCTAATGTGTGGGCATCCTGTGCGTACCGTGTTGTTTGTTAAGCTGGGCCACCGCCGCCGCCGCCGCGTGTTTCCTCCTTGCTGAAACCCCCCGTCACTTGGACAGCGCCCACGGCGTCACGTGCGCGAGTTTCCAGCCGAGCGGCACGCGCCCGTTATTGTTACCTTCATTGGCGCTGCTGCTGCTGCTGCTGCACGTCAACCTTTAAATAAACCTACTTGGACTGTAATAACGAAGCAAATTAGAAAATAAAGACAGATGGTTCAGCTGCCAGAGGTAATTAAATGTAACGACGTGTAATGTGTGTTTTAGAACGCTGCGCGGTTTTCTTCGTGCGGTTGTCCAAACTGAAGCAGCAAGACCTGCCCGCGTTGTCAAGAGCACTTAGGGGACAGGCGATCCTCTGCCTGTAAAGGACACCGCTATGAAATGAGTTAAAGAGCCTCGGCAACTTCCGTCTCGCCAGAGAATTGACGCGCGGTGCCCCCTGGGCCAGACGTGGGCTGCGAGTTGAACGGGGGGGTGGGGGCGGGTCGGCTATCCCACAAAAATTGAGTTTGACTCCCAGAGGGATCGTGGTTTGCGTCAGCCTCCCCCCGCCCCACCAGGTTTTGAACTCGCAACCTTCCGATCCTAGCGCGGAGCCACCTGGCTGAACGACGGGGAAGCCAGGGGCTCCACGGTGGCTAGGAGATGTTAACTACCTCACCTGGTACACAGGAGGTCGTGGGTTCAATCCCAACCCTGACGCCTGCTGCTGTATATTTGGAGTCTGCGTGTCTCTCTCTCTCTCTGTGGTGAGATGTTAACTACCTCGCCTGGTACACAGGAGGTCGTGGGTTCGATCCACACCCTGATGCCTGCTGCTGTATATTTGGAGCCTGCGTGTCTCTCTCTCTCTGTGGTGAGATGTTAACTACCTCACCTGGTACACAGGAGGTCGTGGGTTCGATCCCAACCCTGACGCCTGCTGCTGTATATTTGGAGTCTGCATGTCTCTCTCTCTCCGTGGTGAGATGTTAACTACCTCGCCTGGTACACAGGAGGTCGTGGGTTCGATCCCAACCCTGACGCCTGCTGCTGTATATTTGGAGTTTGCGTGTCTCTCTGTCATCATCATCACGGTGGCTAGGAGATGTTAACTACCTCGCCTGGTATACAGGAGGTCGTGGGTTCCATCCCAACCCTGACGCCTGCTTTATATTTGGAGTCTGCGTGTCTCTCTCTCTGTGGTGAGATGTTAACTACCTCGCCTGGTACACAGGAGGTCGTGGGTTCGATCCAAACCCTGATGCCTGCTGTATATTTGGAGTTTGCATGTCTCTCTCTCTCTCCATGTGGTCGTGTGGATTTTTACCCGGGTCCTCCAGTTTCCCCCTCAACATTTATAAACACGCGTTTAGAGTATCTGGCTGCTATACATCTACACGTGATAAACCATTTCGGTGAGCTGTCATTTGTGGCCATGTCGCTTCTGAAAAAGAGCTGTTATATATATATATATATCATTAGACCTC